CCTATGGCCAAAATTTATTTTTTTTCTATTCTGACATGTCAGAATAAGAAAAAAAACGAAAAAGCTTGGCCGCCGGGAGCGGGAGACTCGCGGAGCGCCGGGAGAGTTTTTTTTTTCTTTTTTATGACGGCAGCAGAACCGCCGGACAATAGAAAACAGTTGGGCGGAGCTAGCTGTCACTGATAGCTCCGCACAATCGTTTTCGATTTATTTTTTTCTACTTTTTTAACTATTTTTCTGTTTTGCTCGGTCCCACAGAGAGACCGAGCAGAAAAGCCGAGCTATTCACTCACTGCTGTTCGGCATCTATAAGAATAGACCGAACAGCAGCGAGTAGCCTGCTGGAGGTTCGGCTTAGCCGATCCAGATGTTGGTTCGGCTGAGTCGAACTCCTTCTGCACTTCAGGTCGGCCGAACATGCTGTGCATGTTCGGCCGACCCGAAGCCACCCGATGTACGGCTGATTTCAGCCAATATACGGCTAAAATCAGCTGTACCAGCCTGAAGTGAATAGCCGAACAGCGTTCGGCTCACTTTGCTTTAGGTCGGTCATTCACTCGGCTGCCTATGGCAGCTTAGTGAATAAACCCCATAGTGCTGGGCAGCCTGTCTATGCACACTAATATCCCTTAGATTCTAAAAGGTCATTGCTTCTACATGCTATATCCCATTCCAGTCTATGGTTCAGAGTGATGTTAAAAAAATAAAATAGTACACAAATAAACTAGTAACATAAAGTCAGTACAGTTTAATGAAAGATCCTGATTTATGGACATGGCAATGAAAATAAGAAGAAAGTTCAGAAGTGAATGAAGTTGGAACTGCTATCAGTTTGGTATATTTGGATTTTGAAAAAGCATTAAATATATTACTTATGAACAACCTAATACACAAGCAGAGGATGCACAGACTAGGAAAAATGCGTGAACATGGCTGAAGAATTAGGTAAAGGACTGTGAACAATTGGTAATTGTAAAAGGCAGCTATCCAAATTAGGGGAGAAATTGGCATCTGGTCCAGTTTGTTTTATTATTAATGTCCTGGATGATAAAACAAAAAAATGGATGTGCAAAGAGGAAGACTCCCTGTACATGGAAATATAGCTAAGAAAATCATCTGCAAAGAAATTTGAAAATACTGGTTCAGAGTAAGCAGAAGAACCTAAGTTGCTACAAAAAAAGATCTGTGTTTTATAAAATGAGATAGAGAATAATATGTGTAAATATAATGTATAAATAATTGAAAAGCCACATTTGTAATATGGACTATAATGTTGTGCACTACACTTTAAGATGAACGTAGAGGATGAACTCATAGGATTTAAAGAAGGCACAAAAATGGACAAATTAATTAACTAAATAGACACATCACTTGTTATTGAAAGTTGGACAAACTGGTCATGTTTAAGGTTTGCATGACCTTTAAACAACAAATGGTTAACCAAAAATAGGAATGTGCAACAAGCATTCCCATCTATACATACATTACCTGAAAATTATGGCTTTGGCACAAAGGATACTTTCTGACTAGCACCTCAGTGGCAGAAAAAAACATCCAATATGTCCAGTTTTTACAGATTACCCCAATGAATACTCTTCAGAGCATTTTGTGGGTGAATTTGATCTCAGTGGCATTCTGTTGTTTCATAAATTAACCACTGACAAAACTGAGCAATTTATACCTCAGTCAAATATTGGCTTTCATGTAGAAGTGATTTGGCTGGCCCTAAAACCACCCGATCACTTCTACATGCCACCCACTCCACTCTACACCCTCCTCATGTATCCCATGCTCTGCTGCCCTTCCTGAAGATGCTGGACAACCATGGTGGGTGTCGACAGAGGGAGGGGAGGTAGACCAGTGAACATCTATTTGCTGATATCCTCCTTGCTGGATGAGCACAGAAGAAACAATTATTTTATCACTTTCATGAAAAGCTTTCATTGCCCAGCCACAGAGGTCAGGGAAGAAGCAAATCAACCATGATCTGTTCTTGATATGCTCCAATGGGCTGAAAAGGTGACATTAGGGGTTTAATAGACCCCCTAAAGAGGCCCTGTCACCAGTAACATGGTATCAAACAGGGGACTATCAGCCCCATATGCGATAGCAATTAAGTATAAAAAGCTTAAAAATTCAAGTTAAATAAAATACATTTTAAAAAAACAACAATGTTTAAAGCCTGACTGCCCCTGCATATACACACATAGGAAAGGAAACGCATGCATGGAGTGCTCCTACATATAAAAATCAAGTTTTTCCCACACATGTCGGCTTTTGCCACACATGCCAGAGTGAGAGAAATAATTCTAGAGCCATTATTCATTGTTAACTCTAGTCACCAGTCACCATTTCACGGGTGCAGACAATTTTATGGCTTGACTCATTTGGTTCCTATTTACTCAGCACAATCCCATCATTTATGTTTTACAAATAAAATGTGCATTATATATTGTGTTTGTGTGCACTAAAGTTAATTTGAATGCATTTTTACAGAAAATTTTAGTTTGAAAAACTGTTCCACTAACGTTGTGCAACATAAAAAAATTAAACTGACATAATTTAGTCTATGTGTGCTTAAAAAGGCAAACATGGATCTGGCAGCAAAAGGGTTAAATAACATGCTTGGGGAATGTTTAAACACATTAAACACATGCACATGAACCTTCATGATGTACTTCTGTCTAAATGTCACAAACGTGACATTTAGACAGAAAGACAAACTGTTGCTAACAAACTGCATATCTCAGCCGACTTCCTTCTGTTTTGGGCTCCCCTCAAAAGAATCCATACCAGACAATTATTCCCAGCCAACTTCCTTCTGTTTTGGGCTCCCCAAAAAAAAAATCCATACCAGACTATTATTCCCAGCTGACTTCCTTCTGTTTTGGGGTCCTCAAAAAATCAATACATACCATATCCTTTTTTTAATTGCATGCGGCCTGTTATGTTTTTGGAAGTGTGGGCACATGTTTGCTGCCCCCTTTTCCTGGACATCTGGGCTGCATGACTGGATAAGGGCTGGACTAGATTTTGAGGAGAACCCCATGCATAAAAATATATAAATAAATAAACAGTGTGGGATCCCATTCAAAATCCATACCGGTGAGATTGCAAGCAGTGCTACCTCTTACTGTTAATCTTAGCAGAAACAGAGTAAGATTTAGTAATGTTAGTATTCTGCTACTCACTGCTCTCTTTGCTGAAGACTCTGGCATGAGGAAGCAATGCACTGCCTTTACCATAATGGCTGCCCTTGCACATAGACACAGTGCAAATCAAAGTATGGTAAGTCAGTAATGGAGAAAGATTAACTGCAGGAAAAACATAGACAATACTGATGACTAGTCCTTTTTCCTTTTTGCCTCCTTTTTTGGGACACGGCTTTCAGAGTTCAAACTGACATGTACCATAATGTTAATGTTGTCTAGTTAAATGCCCCTTAATTAAAATGGGATTGAATATTACAAGTGTCCACAATTCTGCACAGCCATAGCACCTGCCTATTTACAAGCAGAAAACATCTATCAGAACTTTAAGCTTTTAGGCAACTCAGTCAATATTGAATGTTCCTAGTCAACCCTGCTTCACTTATTACTAATTGGCCCCATGATCTTTCTTTTTCAGCTTGTAATTGATCATTATGCTAGGTACAAATGTAAAAATTAAATCTTGTACTTCAAAGGAAGTAAAATATAACATTAAAGCTAGCCTAGTGCTACAATATTCCATTATGTAAAAAAATTGCAAACAAACACAGATATCTTTTACATGTTTTTCCCATTTTGTCTAAATTAGTTCACTTTCATTGGAATATAACAGGTGTGTATTTTAAGAATTTCTCCTTGTTTCTGCTTGTTTAAATTTTGTAATTGTGTCTGTAAGACTCTGGTCTGTTTTAACAAATATGGGAGTGGAAGAGATCGTACAAAGTTGTTTTTCCATACTAGTTTTCAGACTGTCAGAGCTGCCAAAGAATTTCAGTGAAGATTTGTTTCTTTTCCATGGACTGTGACCATAATGTGGAATTACACAAATCGACCTTAATTGCTGGAGCCTTGAGTTAATTTCCCACTACAGATATTAACTTTATATGTTCATAATATATTTGTGTGGGCAATATACTGTTTAAGTTTCCAGTGTACTTAATTTTCCTACCATAGTTTAACAACAGACTGGCAGGGTAATCATCTCCTGGCCATCTTCTGGCCAGATTTTGTCTTTGTGTGTATTTATTTGTATGAGTATGGCAGGTAGATTAAATTTAAGGTATAGACGTGACTGGCCTATGCAGTTTAAAGTGTAAAGCATTTGTTGAACAAGTCAGCTATACAGTATAACTGAATTAAATGAATACATTCAACAAAAGTCTCTCTAGATACTGTTATCTGCATAGCTCCAGCATTTCCTATGAAATGATTTTTTACTTTTTACAGGTTCCTCCGTAAATCATTAAAAAAGAAAAACAATCTGGAAATGACTTTATATTGCATACATTTTCTAGTGTTTTTGTCTTGATGCAAGCTTTTTCTAATTTTTTTTACATCTATTTGTACATAATCCTTAGCACCTTCCTTGACCTTATATGAACTCCCTCTTCCATAAACTATGCCAGGCCCTGGGATCCCTATTCTCTGTGCTGTACCATTATGAATTTAGAAAAGACATGTTATCTTTTGCACAATAATAAATGAATCCGCCTTGCACTGCATTGGATCATGAAATATAATCCTGTGAATGGCTGGACATTATCCTCACATGTTTTTTTTTTTGCTAATGACCTTTTTTTCTTTTTTTTTTAAAGAATCCTATGGGCACTCAGGTTAATTATGCAGTCTACGATTTAAATTAGCTGCTGAACCAGAGCAATAACAATGTCCTAAGTGTTAATATTCATATGTTATAAGCATGTTTTTAGTATGTTCTAAAAAAATCTTAAAAATACCTATATGACTTATAATACATATTTTAATTGTTGATTTATGTTTTGTTTTTTTCAGATGTATATCCAGACAACTACACTGACCGTATCCATGAGTTTAAGTGCTTCAGTGTCTTTGGGAATGCTTTATATGCCCAAGGTTTACATTATTATCTTTCATCCTGAGCAAAATGTTCAAAAAAGAAAGAGAAGCTTCAAGGCAGTTGTGACAGCAGCCACCATGCAAAGCAAGCTGATTCAAAAAGGGAATGACCGACCTAATGGAGAAGTCAAAACAGAACTCTGTGAAAGTCTTGAAACAAATAGTAAGTAAGCTGACTAAACTTTCCTATTAGTAATGATAATAAAAATAATACTAATAATAATAAGCGCCATATGAATTCAGGCAGATTGTGGAAAGTTATTCGGGGCTAAGCTATTTCAGTGCTTTAAATCTTAGCAAACTAGCTTTAAATGTATTTCTGTACTTTATTCAGGCAGTGGAAGATACAAAGAACTAGGGTGAATAAGAGTAATATGGTTACAGGAATTTTTCTGATAGTCCTAAATACAGTACAACACATCACAGAAAGTGAGTTGCAGGGTCAAATTCCCTACTTTGATTTGGTAAATCTTTTAGAGTAATAAAGTATTTGATTTTAAGTTTCACAAGTGGAATAATGAAGCACTGACTAAACTTAACAGTTGCTATATTAAACCTTTACCAAACTCCACCTCAAGGTAAGCTGCAAGTCTAAGCAATGCAAGGTACCTAAAATGTTAGGTGTAGGCCACACACTACTCAGAATAATCAACCAGATAGAAGTTATACAGCTTTCAAGCCCTAGGAAGGCAAACATGACTAATGATTAATCTTTTAGCTAAGGCTAAGATAATTACAATTGTTTGTCACCCACATAACAACGGTAGTTCATAACTGTAGACTATTTAAACCAAGCAGTAAGTTGCTAGGAGTAGCACTGACCATACTGAACCATATGGAACAGTGTGAGAAAATGGGTCTGGGTTACAACAACGGGTTACTGTTGTTATTACTAGACATGTAACTTGGCAATCAAGAAGGAATGATATCAACTGACCGTTGTGCATTTTAGTTTAAAGGAGAACTATGGGGTTAAGTCCTTTCCCCATAGTTCTCCTTAGGTTAACGGGAGGACACAAACTAGCGTCCTCCCGTCACCCTAGGCTCAGTATACCGAGAGCTGCTGCTCGCGGTATACTGAGACGCCGCAGCTAAAGCTGATCTCGACAATTGTGCCGGGATCCGCCCAGCTGTGTGACTGACAGCTGGCTCTGCCTACCTAGAGGCAGAGCCAGCTGAACCCGCCCCCTCCCCCGTCCGATCCACCAGTCAGCGCTGGCGGATCGGATCGGGGAGGGGGGAATCCAGCCACTCCCCTGTCACGGCAGAGAGCCGTGACAGGATTGAGAGGTGAGCGAACACCGGTATGTGTTCGCTCACCTCCCGATCTACTGAGCTGACCTGTGACAGTCTCATTGTCACAGGTCGGCTAGAACTATGAGGTGAGTGAAAAGCACTCACCTCATAGTTCTCCTCTAAAATATTATGGTTTCTTTTAATATGTTATGGATAAAATGCTGCATAAGAGAACAACAATGTAGTACTCACACTGGTCTCTTGCTACTAGTATATCATTTAAAACATGAAGAAGGGAATTTATCAAAACTGGAGCAGACAAAATCTGGAGCAGCTGTGCATGGTAACCAATCATCTTCTCTCTTTCTTTTTCAAATCTTAACTAAACAAACTGAAGAGAAAAGCTGATTGGTTGCCATGCACAGCTGCTCCAGTTTTTGTCTGCTCCAGTTTTGATAAATTCCCCCCGAAGTGTTTCAAGTTTCGGTACTGTATTTGCGCCTAAATCAAGACTAAAAAGTATTATACCAAAGGAAAACCATTTATTTATTGTCTTTATTATACCAGTCAGGCATTTAGAAGGTTTTCAAATACTATTATGTGCTTTTGATAAGAATAGAATATTAGCAATAGGTTTGTATTTGTCCACTGCTTTAGGGTCCATGTTAGGCATTTTTGTATGGCATTAATCACTGCTTTGATTATGGCTGTGGTCCCATAAATAATAATTGCAAATGCACTGGGCATTTGTATGTAGAGTGCTAAGGTGATCAGTCAAAGCAATAATTATGGGGTGTGCTAGACCAGGATCAAAATCACTGGAAGTTGAGAGGAATGCCTGGATAATTTTTACATTACCTTTTTTAAGGTCTGTGGGCAAAATCTGTGGGCATGGGAAGGTCAGAAGGTGGTCAACTGTAGGTCAAATGCACCCAACAATGAATTCTAAATAATCTCAAAAACATTTCAAACTGATGTCAAACTGATTCAATTGACATAAGCTGGAAGTCTTTCAACAAAGGCCCTTAGCTTAAGGCCTCATTCGCACAGCTTAGTGTCGGCCCGTACAGATCCGCGCTGCGTGCACGACCGTATTGGGTCATTCCCGGGAAGGACATGTGCTGCGTGTGATTGTACGCAGCAGCATGTTCTTCTCTATAGGAGTATGCGGCCGTATGATGCCGTACGCTCACCTGAACTGCACATCCGTGTGGGTGTGGGTGTCTGTGCTCGGACGGAGACAGGACACATGCGTCTGAGTACGGACGCCCGCACTCGCACAGATATGCAGCTCAGGTGAGCATATGATCACATACTCCCATGGAGAAGAACAGGCTGCTGCGTACAATCACACACAGCACATTACGGCCGTGAATGCCACACAGATGTGTACGGGCCAACACTTAGCTGTACAAATGAGGCCTAAATGGCTAAAAGTTTATCAAGAAATTTATATAAATCTTCAGATTTTTTCCTGAAGGAGGTTGAACAGGTTGAATTGCAGACCTCTATAAATGTATGGAATTGGTAAGCTGGTCTGCTTTTAGCAGTTGTTGTTCTTTGCATTAAAGATATTGATTGTCATGACAATTGCAGTGATAGGTTAATAAAGATTCATGCTCTTCTGAGAGATTGGGATTGATTTACTAGGCTTTTCACATTGCAAGGGAATTTGCACTTTGCAGGGGAACTTTCCCTTTACTTGCAAAATTTCTATTTGCACAGAATACTCAATCATGTGCAAGGAAAATAAAAAAAAGGACCGTTGCTTGCACATGATTGGTTGATGGAAGCTCCCCTGCAAAGTGCAAGTTCCCCTGGAAAGTGAACAGCCTATTTACCTTCAGTAAATCCACCCCCATTCTCTTTCCATTATGTGCCCATTCTGTTCTGGTTCCTTACTTGAGCTATCAGACTGTTCTGCTGGTGCTTTGTATGCTTTGTGTTTTATTGAAAGGCAAACAGCTTGACAATAAGGTTCTCTGACCACACCACTAGGCGCTCATTTTAAGTTTTTAATATTTAGTATTCTATGTAGTAATGTGTCTAGTGTGTGTTCTTCTCTGTCCATGCCAGGTATCACAGCTGCTAAACCCCAAACCCATGCACTGCTCTGCTTCACATACAGCTAGAACACAACTACATGCAAAGTCACAAATGTAAATGTAATTAGTATTTGTTCACAAGTAAAGTATATAGTATAAGGGAAACCTGAGCATATCCATTAAAAGGATATGTTTATACTTCCTTTGCAATAATTTGTCTCTACTGTGTATTTGGAACAACATTTGTCTGGTCTGCTCGCTAAAGATCACATTTTTGCTAATCTTAATAAAAGGTGAAAAAAATTGAATGAGCATTAGCTAATTCGCTCTTTGCTTAAATGAAAGATGCAGGATGAGATCGGTGTTGCTACAATAAAATAGGTCTTACTGATTGATGTGCTTTCATTTTACTAGATATAAAGAGCATCCGCTATTAAGCATTATGAGATTTTTATTTTTGTGGGTTTTTTGTTTTACTGATGAACTTGCTTCCAGCAGTTCTCAACAAATGTTTAGATTTTGTATCTGAGTTTAACACATTACTACTACAAACATGACACATTATATTCATATCCAAAGCGAACTTAGCATTTTAAAAGATCATCATAAGGCCTTCATATACAATTTTTGTTATTATTTTGCACATTCTTTGTATATTATGCTCACTGATCTCATCTTAGCAATGAATACTGTCTTGTTTTCTATAAGCTATAATAATATATTATTTATGGAACAGATGCTCCCGGCACAAACTCTGCTATCTCAAGCTTATGAGCACAGCATGACATTCTAAGAAGAATATAGATCTAATTAAATGTATAGATGGGTTCATCAAGGATTAGTTTTAATGGCTTCATATATAATATTTACAACAAATGTCACAGAAATATTGACCTAGTAATAATTGAAATGTATATAGTTTTCAGCAGCAAAATAAAAATCCATTAAATGCTGATTATGACCATTATAAAATAATACAAACGGCATTATTCAATAATTGGAGCAGCACTCATGAAAAGATTCAAAGTTAAATTTATGCCATACATCCTGCATATACTTTTGTCATTAATCAATGGATATTATTTATTTTTTCTGTTATTTAAATTACACATGTTCATATTCTTACTGGTTAATAGTACAATACAATACTTAGCTATACTCAATAATGACATAAACATGTGTATCTGAGAAAGAAAAAAAATGGATTAGGAGGAGGAATGATGGTTACCTGGGGAAAAAATAGGTCTGGTTGTTCTGTACACTTTTTTGTCACAGCTGATAAACAGAAATAGTGAAACTCATAAAAAATATTTAAGAAATCCATTGTCTTTTCCAAAAACAAAACTATGGGGTCTATTCACTAAGCTTCCGTAGGCAGCCGAGTGAAAGACCGACCTGAAGTGAAGTGAGCCGAACGCTGTTCGGCTATTCACTTCAGGCTGGTACGGCTGATTTCAGCCGTATATCGGCTGAAATCAGCCGTATATCGGGTGGCTTCACGTGGCTTTGGGTCGGCCGAACATGCTCAGCATGTTACATAGTTACATAGTATTTGGGGTTGAATAAAGACATACGTCCATCAAGTCCAACCCATATAGGTCCACGCATCATCTCATTCTTAGGGATACTGGTATCCCTGGATATTACGGTCCCTCAAGAAATTGTCCAAACGTTTCTTGAACAAATCTACACTCTTGGCTGAAATCACTGCCGATGGCAGTGAGTTCCAGACTTTAACCGCTCTTACTGTAAAGACCCCTATTCGCCCATTGTGCTGGAATTTTTTCTCCACCAACTTTAGGTGGTGGCCTCTAGTCTTTGTAATGGAGTTAATCTCAAACAGTTTGTTGCCAATGTTGCTGTCACCATTGAACATCTTGTA